TTTTGTTGAATGGTATGTTGAAACCGATTGCTTATGCCACCGTTCAACATCATTCAACAACCTTTCAACAGCGTTTGAACAAAATCGAAGCGATGTTGAAGTAAATGTTGAAGCCGTTTGCTCGGGCCATAACGTTATGCTGTAATTCCAAGATCTACATAGTACCATCGATTTTTTGCCTTAACCCTGCCACTCACTTGATCTGTTTTCAGTTGCCCTGAGTTCAACTCCTCGAGTGCTAACTGGTCTGCCTCCTGCCATCTGGGGTTCTCGAACATTGTATTTATTATTATTATTATAAATCGCAGTGTACACTTCTGAATTCTTCAGTTTACATATAAAATTATCTAGGGCGCCAAAGGCGTAGCCTACTCAATTGTCACTACTACATGAATAAAAGATAAACTTTAGGAAATGTGTGCCCCTAGACCCTAAAAGGAAATAAATTTTCCATCAATCTATTAAAACCATGCTTGAATCTAGCGTCGTTTAAGGAGCTTAGTCCGATAGGACCTTAAAAGTCCAGACACAAATAAACCTAAAAGTTCTAAAATGGTATACCCATAGACCCTAAAGTGGAGATAAATGTGTAAAACCTATACTTAAAACTAACGTCGTTGGAGGAACTTAGCCTAATAGGACCTTGAAGGTCCTGGCAATGTTAAGGGAGCTAGAGACTACAGCTCTCTGCATGTTCCTTAGCACTGAATGACATTGGCCACTTCCAGCCAGTTGGCGTATGCTTTCCTTGACCCTTCGCGAGCTCCCTTTAAGTGCGTCTATTATGATGTTATACTGCTTAATCTTGTACTCTGGGTATCTCCTTAATTCGTACCGCAGCAGGGCGTACTTGTTCGTCTTCTCTGCACATTTTGATCTCTCTATTACTGACCCATGGACAGCTCATTTCAAGTAACACTGCTTTCTTCTTCTCCTTGTCTATAACCGTACAGTCTAGCCTGTTGTTTCTCACCTCCGCGTGTTCTGCATATAGTGGTATGTCCCAGAGTGCCTTTCCTGTCTTGTTTACGTAAAGAGGCTTCGGCGTGTTCTGAGAGTACCACGGTGGTACTGTTGTCACTAAGTCTAGGTCTTTCAAGAGTTCGTAGAAAAATACCTTAAGTGCTGCATTATGCCGAGTCGTGTATTTAGACTGGGCTAGGGCTCCACAGCCTGCTAGCACGTGCGCTTGCGTTTCAGCGGCCTTACCACACATGCGGCACTTCACATCCTCACTCGTGTGAGCACTTGTCTTTTTCTGGTGGTAGACTTTCGTTGGTAGGAGTTGCTGGTATAGTTCCTGCAGACCCTCTATGGTGTGAGTCGACGCAGTCTTCCACTCGCTCATCCATGAAAAGCATTCATCTCCAACTTCTTGATCCTCCCACCTCTCAGTTAACAAACGTCCTTGCCATCCGTCTGCTTTCAGTTCCTCAACATCCCTTTCCTTGGCAGCAGTCTTTAACCAGATCCCAACCTTCTTTACAGGTACTTTCAAGTCGTTCGTTAGACATATGACCAATGGTTGGGGGTGCACCAGAGATAGATTGAGCCCAAGCTCAGATGCATATTTCTTGGCATCCTTCACCATTGATCGCCGGTCCATCTCTTCTGATCTCTCCTCAAACCGCCTTACTACCTCCATAACGTGATCTTCATTAGTATAGAGTCTTACTGCAGCCTTAACCCTAGCGTGCTTGTACTCTCGTTCAACACTTCTCAGCCCACGGCCCCCAGGCTCCCTCGGTAGATATACTAGGGCTGTAGACCCAAGAGGGTGCTTGCCCCCATTCTCAACGATAACCTTTCTTGCTTCTCTGTCCAGCCTCCTCAGTTCCGCTATCGGCCAGCACTGGGTGGGCATCAAGTAGCTTAGCACCGGCATCGCAAACTGATTTGAAGCCTGCACCTTGTTGTAGTCTGAGAGCGGGCTAGTCCATATCAAAGATAGACGTTGTAAATAAGTCTTGCCTGTGATCTCGAGACTGAGATTATCATCCTGTTTAGTGCTTTCCATAACTCGGAGGAACTTGTTATGAGACCCCTCACCCAGACTCTTGATAACCTCCCTCTCGTTGTCCGCCACACTCACTGGCTCCTGTGATTCTAACGTCCCTCTCTACACATGGGCCACTGAGCACTTTCTTTCGTTCCACTCAAGTCCTATGTCCTTCATCGCTCCTCTCACATCGCTCCTCTCTTGACGCTGCAAAGATCTTGAAATCATCTATATACAAAAGATGAGTCACCACCTGTCCGATCGGCTTAGATAATCTGTAGCCTTCAGTCGCTTTCAACATCCACGAGACCGGGTTCATGCATAACGTGAAGAGCCTGGGGCAAGGGGCGTCACCCTGCGGAAGTCTCCTCCTAAAGGTTATCAGCTCCGATGTCTCCATGCCTTGGGCTGTGCGCACTAATATTCTGGTGTTCCAGCTGGCACTAAGCTATTGAATGACCTTGCAAAGCCATGTTGGGAACACCTGCATCATAAACATCTCCCTTAACCATCCATGATCCACACTGTCA